ATTCTCAACAACAACAAAATATATTAAAAAAAAGACTTTGCAGGCTAAGAATAATTAATGAAGCCAATGTGTAGCTGAATATATTGTTTCTTAGGTGGTGCCCATGGTCACCAGCAAGCTAATCATTAGGAGACCACAACCTATCCAATAGTCTTAGGTGGATATCTGAGGAGCTCTGAAACAATTTCCAATCACAGTAACTGCCCTGTTAACAACAGGAGAACTGTCAGTATGAAGTTAGAGGACCTATAGCAACACAGGCTGCAGGGGAGCCAAGAATTCCAACCCCTTCTGTCCATCATGCTAGCTAGTAAAATTATCCAATTAATTTCTCTTACTCCAATTCCACATTCTGGTTCAAAAACAAAACAATCCTCCAATTATAAAACAGGTTTACTGTATGACTTTCCTGTGTAGAAAGAAGATACGTCACCACCCAATATGAACACTTACTCCACTTGAGGTGTATTTCTCGTTGTAAACACACTGTGTACATATCAATTTCTCTTGTAAGCCTGGTTAATGATTCAACTATATGAAACTGCTTCAGCTCTAGGGACAAGGACAAAATTAAGTTCCTGAACCTGAGAAGCTTTGGCCCAGCTTTGGAACATCATAACCACACAAAACTTCAGGGTCAGCTAGGGTAGCTGCCAAGTTGTCCCTCACTCAAGTGATTTCCATGTGCCAGGCAACTATGCTTCCACTCTACCCCACCAGCCTGAAGAATCTAACTAGAACAAATTAAACTACAACAGGGCCAAGGGCAAGTCTATCACAAAACGCATTCATGCTACTTATTTCCATTAGAAAATCCTTTTTAAACTTTAGCATCCAAACAGTATCGTATTTCCTCCCCCTTTTAACAGTGAGCCATTATTACCTAGAAATAACAGACCAGGCAATTTCCAAAGTAGTGCTTTTCAACTTTTGGGTTTTTCACTTGACATTCCTCAGCTCCTGAAGTCCTATGTAACTTCATTTTGCACTGCCATGTACACACTAGTGGCGCAGTGGTTAGTGATCAACTGCTAACCTAAAGGTTGATGGTTCTAAACCACCAGCGGCTCCACAGAAGAAAGATGTGGGAGTCTGCCTCTAGAGATGTACACCCTTGGAAACCCTATGGGGTCACTGAGTCAGAATCGACTCCACGGCAGTGGGTACGTACACACTGATTTATTGCTGTTCTTCTCCGAGATATTTTTGTATTAAAAATTTTCCACATATATGTAAAATCCATCACCCAGTTCTCTCATACCAAGTCAGTCAGACTGTAGAGTGAGCACCACCCATCCTGTCCACTCTCCCAGTATCCTCAGTCTGAATGACCCCTGCTCATCTGGTCACACTCCTGAGCTCGCATTCTACCAGTTTTGTGTTCCAGTGTACAATCTTGACCCATAATGGGTCAGCATGAACAACAGCACTGAGGTATCAGAGAAGTCATGACCACTATACTAGATTAAAAGCAAATGTTATGCCTGAGTTGCTGTCATGGATTGAATTATGTCCCCCCAAAAACGTGTGTATCAATTTGGCTGGGCCATGATTCCCAATATTCTGTGGTTGCCCTCAATTTTGTGATTGTAATTTAGAGGATTCAGGTGGGATTGTAACACGCTTACAAAGGTCACATCCCTGATCCAATATAAAGGGAGTTTCCCTGGGGTGTGGCCTGCATCACCTTTTGTCTTACAAGAGATGAAAGGGAAGCAAGCAGAATTGGGGACCTCATACCACCAAGAAAGCAGTGCCAGGAGCAGAGCGCATCCTTTGGACCCGGGGTCCCTGTGCGGAGAAGCTCCTGGTTCAGTGGAAGACTGATGAGAAAGCCGACAGAGAGAGAAAGCCTTCCCCTGGAGAGGATGTCCTGAATTTGGACTTTTAGCCTACCTTACTGTGAAGAAATAGGTTTCTCTTTGCTAAAGCCATCCACTTGTGGTATTTGTTACAGCAGCACTAGATGACTAGGACAGTTGCCTTCAAAAAAAGGATCAACAAATGGTCATATGAAGGGATAGGACTGACCAATAATGCTACCAGCTACAGCTGAAAGAAACCACAGCCAAAGTATGTCATAATTGAAGCTTACAGAAAAACAAATGTCATTTCCTCTTACCTCACATCCACCCGTTCTTGGCGTCCCTTGGGGTTTCTCCTCTCCTACTCCACTGCTGAAGTGCCAGGCTGAGACGCTTCCCTCTATTTCCATTCACTCCCTTGGGAATGTAAAGCCATCTTGTAGCTTTAACGTCACACACATCAATGCCAAACCTCTCTATCCTGACCTCTCCCCCATGTCCACTGTGTTCCAGGTTTCCCCTCCCAAACCTCCACCCACAGCACCGTCCAGGTGCTCTGACAAAAACACACTTGGAAGTCCTGCCTGCCTTTCTTTTTCCCATACCTCACATACAGTCTGGCAGGAAATCCCATTGGCTCTAACTTCTAAACAATCCCAGAAAGAAACCAACCAATTCTCACCAACTCCATTACTACCACCCTGGCCTAAATCACATCTCTCACTTGGATTACTGCCTTTTCTGCTTGTCCTTCCCTCAGCAGTTGGAGTGATGCTTCAAAACCAGATCATGTCACTCCTCTGTTCAACCACTGCAACTGCCACCGATTCCACTCACAGCGTAAGCCCACAAGGCCCCATGCAACCTGGCTGCTCACAACCTCTGATCTGCTGTCCTGATACAATTTTCCCCTCCTCAACTTCCCAGCTGCACTGACCACCTTGCTGTTTCTTGGACACACCGGGCACATGCTGGTTTTCAGGCATTTGTTTAGGCTGCTGCTTCTGCCTAGAACACTCTTCCCCAGACAGTCACGTAGCTAATTCCCTCACCTACTCCTAGTCCTATGTTCAAATCTCTCGTTCTCAGTAAGACCTACCCTGATTATACATTTCATTCTGCAATCTGCACTCCCCTACACCAACTCCCAACCCCCTTACTCCACTTTTTCCCCCAACAGTTACCACCTTCTAACTTTCTACAGTGAAACCTGTGAGAGCCGGAACCACAAGATTGCCTTGCTTTTCTGGGTCTCACAAGTTTCCCGCCTCTGACAGGGTGCAGTCTTACCACTTTTCTGTCGCTCTCTATTAGTGGAAATAAGAGTTTTCCTTCTCTGACAGGTTTCTGCCTTACACAGGTTCCAGCTTGCACAGGCTTTACTGTGTGTAGAATTTACCCATTACATGTTGTATATATTGTCCATATCCCCTGGGAGAATGTTAGCTCAAAGGCAGGGATCTTTCTTTGCTGTTGTTCAGAGATGTTTACCAAGCAACTAAAATAATCCCTGGCATAATATTTGTTACTTTAAGTATCTGTTATATCTGTTAAATGATCAGTATCTGCTACATGAATGCATACAGATTACATATTTGTTAATGAATAAATATTCATTAAGTGAATGAATCCAGAAGGTTGGGAATCAACCTCTCTAGGAATTATGCTCTAACCACCTTACAGAACACCAACTCACCTCATGCTCCCACCTCCAAGATTCCATTTCGGACCCTCCGACACCTCTGCACTAAAGCTTCACAACACCCCAACCTAAGCCTTGACATCTACTCACATACCTGACATCTTCTAATATATTCATCCATACCCAAATTTACAAATTTTCAAATTAATCTCAAACATCGTCATCTATTTAGTATTCTTGCCAAAAACACTTAACCTGAATCTAATCATATGGAAACAATCACACAAATCCAGACTGTACGACACTCTGCAAGACACTCTATGTAGACTTATTATTTAATTATCAAAATCATGAAAGAAAAACACAAAGATGAGGGGAAATGCTGGAGATTAACACAGGTTAATGCGCTGTGACAACCAAACATGTTCGATCCCTTGATTTGATTATGGAACTTTGAAATTTTTCAAAATAAAAAGTTAGGAAAAGAATGAATCATAAGATAAAAAACAAAAACCTCTCCCGTCCACATACACACAAAACTTTGGCAACAAAATACCTTGAAGTTAGAAAATTACTTTTAATAAAGCCTCTGGATTTCACTCGACTTTTCTAAACCAAAAAACACTTAGTAAGCAATTACTTTGTATTTGTCATCATTTGCTTCTTTAAGTCTGGTCAGATGTAAGTGAACTGACTCAGAACTCAGGTGTCAGCTGACCACAAGACAAGACCCAACAGATTAGCACATGCCTCTTCCTTTCTATCACTACAGCCTGGGGTTGCAGAGTCACAATTCAGCCAAGTGGGCCTGCATCAAGGAGGAACAACTAGCTTTCACCAGACACAAAATTCTAGGTTATCATAAGGTCATCAACAAGCCTTGAAAGCATGTATCTAGATAAATCACTTTTTAAAAACCCTCATAACACAATCCCAAAAATGTCGTTGTATTCCTCTACATATACCACAGGACAAGGACAATCACTGGGTCAAGATGAGTATTTATTCACTTTACAAAGATAATGATATTAAATTGCCATAAACAGCTCCATTTATAGACAAATATAACTGTACATTATACCAGTAGCTGGCTCAAATTTGCTTTCCCGGATGCTTCTATGGCTCCAGCCCTTAGTTGAGCACAGAAATCTCTGTTCTGCCACTGATGTTAAAAACTCCCTAAAAGATAACGGTTTTGTGTTTTACATATTCACAGATGGGGTGGGGGGAGGGAACCCATCTACCCAGCCCTTCCTAGAGTTGAGCTGCCATCTGCATGTCCCCTAGTGAGCATTAAATACTGGTTCATTTAAAAAAAAAGAAAATTTACTGATAATTTGAAAAGACTTTAGTAGCACACCAAAATACTTGTTTATACACATAAAAAATCTTGAGTCAGATTTATTATTTTAAAGGTAAACAGATACCCTAACACTGCCAAGAGTGGGTAATGAAAAGGAAGGAAAACATTAAATTACTGAATTATAAAAATATTTTCTTTGGAAAAAAATTCTAAGAAGATTATCATTAATATCTAAAACTAAAGAGAAAAAATAAAGAATTGTTCTTTGATCCATTAGTATTTTAAATAAAAATGAAAACCTCTTCAAAAGCAGCTATAACTGAATTTTTTTTAAAAATTGCAGGTAATGTGCACTTCTAATCTATATACACTGATAATTCTTTACCGGCAATTCGCAGTCAAGAAAAATTCTTAATATGGCTAATTCTTTAGTTTTTTAATTACCATAATTTTTTTGTTGTTGTTTTAAAAAAATATTTCACATGACAGTTTAAAAAATAAGTGGCTTTTTGGGGAAGTACTCCAAATATTCAATCTGACTCAAGTCAGATTACCACAGTTAATAGACAAGCTAGGGATAAATTGGTTTTTTTTTTTCCAATCACAGTTATTTTTCACTCTAGTTTTTTTAGTTATCCCCTCATTTTATGAAAATGTACCAAATTAAAAAAAAAATTTTTTTACTAGTGCTGTAGCACATCTGGATTTGATGAAAGACACCAACCTGAGATAAGAGCTGACTCCTTCACAACAGTCCAGTTCTTGAACCCCACAGGAAATTTCTTTGATCTTCACTAAGTCAATTCTTGATATAACCAATCATATACCAGGATATTATATTATAAAAATATACCATATATTGGACACTCATGTCAGTACATTGCAGAAAATGTGTCTATTTACTGTGTAAAGTTTATTAACATTTGAACGAAACACTCTTATTTACACAGTTAAGTCTGGGGTGGTCAGGACAGCAAAGTGGCATGGGAACCACCATTACAGGTTTGGAAATGTGCAACGGTCCTTGGCATCCTGTCACAGAGACAACCCTCCCCAGAAGAACGTGGCAGCATTGGACAAGGTGAGCCAGAGTTTATACAGTTAGACTGGCTTCTTTTTCTGTCTTCTTTTTCTGTCTTCATTCTTCCTCACTTTCATTTTCAGAATCTAAATCAGAATCTCCATTTAATTCTTTTTCACTGGTCACATCTCTGTCCTCACCATTTTCCTCATCTTTTTCTTCAGCATCTTCCTCTTCATGCTCTTCATCAACATCTTCATCTTTATCACTTTCTTTCTCTTCCTCATCTTCATCCCAATTATCCTGGTAGAAATATTAAAGAAAGGAAAGTATTCATGAAGGCATCTTTCTTACAGAGGATGGGGATATAAAGACAGATTTTTGAACCAGGAAGAAAATTAATTACTCACATCAGAATCCTTATCTGCTATTTCATCATCAGACTCCTCTTCAGAAGATTCTGCAGGGATGGAAAAAAACACAGCCTTAATTTTGTGAACAAAGAAAGCAGAGGGCGCAACCCTAAAAATTAAACAGAAGCAGACTCCTGAATTTTAGAAATATTTCCAGCCATCAACAATCTAAGTAACATTAAGCTAATATTCTTATCTGCATAGTATCACATTTATTATATTAATTCTTCAAGAGCTTACTGAGAGGGACTAAGCACCAAAACTCTTTCAAAAAAAAAAAACCTCACTACAAAAACTCAGCCATTTCTGGGCCACCATACAGACCAAGCTGATGAAGAAAACATCTACGGAAAAATGCTGGCTTATAAAACATAGAAGAAATAAGACTGGGCATCAATTTTTAACCCATAACGAAAGTACTGACTGTAGAAGATCAGCAGTTGGTACTGAAACTGTCAGATGAGTAGCTATGGGAAACAAAACATTCAAATAATACAGCAGGGTTACTTTCTGTGCACTAGGACAGAAATGTTCTACAGCGAGAGAAAAAGTCTGTCACCAATCCCAGCACCATAAACAGAGGGACAAGCAGAATGTGGCTCTTAGTGTCATGCAATATGAAAACATAACAGCACTGATGCTTTTTTCCTTAAATACTCAACTTAAAATCTAATCAAGCCATTAGACCTGATTTCCAGTTTAAAGAAACTGCAGAGTTTAGAAGAACAAACTAAAGGACACCAAGAGGAAGGGAAGCAAATGGACAAACCCATAAGGTGGGGGTAGTGGATAGAACAAGCTGCCCAGTCTCTTCAGCAAGTCTGAGTCATGAAAAAAGGGGCTTTTCAAGACTTTAGAGAGACCTAAGCAATACAGCAACCAAATTCAATACTATGGACCGAGACTGGATCCTAGTTTGGACAAACTAGCTTTAAAGAACATTCAGGGATAACTGGGGAAGCTGAAGCTGGCCTGGGCGCTGGATGAAATTAAGGAATTAATCTGTTAGGCGTGTTAATGTTCTCTATGTAGAATACTGTTCCTAACTTTTAAAAGACAGGATATATAGTGAATTACTCAAGGGTGAAATATCAGTGTCTTTTAAAATATAGCAAGCACCTGTGTCCCTGGCACCCACCCTTATCAGGTCTTAACATTCTTCCCATATTTACTTTTCCTTAATAAATCATTACATACAGATGAACCCCTCTTCTCTGCATATCTCTCTAAGCCCATTTCCCCAAAAGAAACCACTATGCTGAATTATTTGCTGTTAAACAATTGTAATCTGTATCTATGAATTACATACACTTTGTTTTGTACATTTTCAAACTAGTTACTCAAACTTTTTAGTTTTAGAACCACTATACACTCTTAAAAAACTGAGGGCCCCAAAGAGCTTCCATTTATGTTGGTAAATCTATTGATATTTATCGCATTAAAAATTAAAACTGAAGTTATTAAAATTTTTTTCAAAATTAAATAATATTGTTTACAAGTAACAATACCAATCTGCTAACATAAGGGATGTATTTTAATAAAAAATATTTTATAAAAGAAAAAAATTTTTGCTGAAAGAGCAGCACTGCTTTATAGCTCTGTAAGCTTCTTTAAGTGTCTGATGTTAATTAGCTGGAAAAGGGAGAATGCCATGGAAGGGGCTCAGGGACCACGGGTCCTCAGATACACTCTGAGAACTCTTCAGGGAACACTTTGAAGTACCCCATGAAAGAAACGATATTGACATTTTTACCTTTTCTTAATATTACTAATTGCCTCTCTAAAAAGAAAGTACACATATATCCACAAGCAGCAGGATTTCCCAGTTCTCCAAACCTTGCCAACATCCGAGTATTTTCGCTGTCTTTTGTGTTTATCAAGAGTATGAAATATTATGTCCCTGAGGTTGTAATTTACATTTCCTTAGAGTGGTCATCATTATATATGTATTAGTCACTTGAGTTTCCTCCCCTGAGAAATCACTTATCTATCCTTCGCTCATTTTATTGTTACTTTTCTCTACTAATAACTTTCCTTTAATACACTCAGGTGCTAATAGAGATAGTGATGTGCAATGTAATAATTTTTTTTCATATGAATTATCAGTTGTTCTAGCATTTACTGATGAGGTCAGTGTTCCCTCAATGGCATAAAACAGGCCTTCAATGTCAATACACCAAAACTTGCACAGAGATTCACAGGTTTTCAGGAATATCTGGTCTAATTGATTTGTCTGTTCTTGCACTTCAGCTTTGTAAGACTTGGTATCTGGTAGAGCAAGTTTCCCCACACTGTTCATCTAAATCACAGCTATTCTGGGTCCTCTGTGCTCTCAAAACAAACAAAATATTCAATTTATAAAATAATCTGGGGATAACTGGCAACTTTACAGTATGGAAACTTCATTTTGTGATTACTGGCCTATCAATAAACTTATTCAAGTGTTGCTTTATGCTCTTCAATTATGTTTTACAATTTTCCCTATACAGGTTTTGTTTCATTTTCTTAGATATATTCCTAGGAACCTCAGCTTGGATTGCTACTGTAAATAAGACCTTTTTCCCTAATAAATTTTCTGACTAGTTATTTCTTGCTGCTGTTGTTGTGTGCCATTGAGTCAATAGCAACCCTGACAGGAGAACTGCCCCCACAGGTTTTCCTAAGCTGCAATCTTTACAGGAGTAGATCACCAGGTCTCTCCTCCCATGGAGCCACTGGTGGGTTTGAACCGCTCACCTTTTGCTTAACAGCCAAGTGCTTAACCATTGCTCCACCAGGGCACCTTGACTAGTTACTACTGGGATATAATTAAGCTACTGATTTCTTTTTGTTGCTCTTGGTATCCAAGAAAACTTGCTGACTTGGATAACTCTATTAGATGTAACTATAGATTCTCCTGTATTTTTATGTGGACAAGTACAATAATACCTGCAAAATTCAATGTTCTAAAACTCCTTTCTTTCACATAGCATTAAAGAAGGTATCCAGTACAATAAGGAATGGAAGCAATAAAAAGTACAGTATTGTCTTGTTACTGACTTCAGTAGGACTGCTTCTAAAGCTTTATAATGTCTGACAAAGGTTTATTAAATTAAGAAAATTCCCATAAACTCGTAGGTTGCTTAGATTATTTGTGATGAAGACTGAATGTTACTGAATTCTTTTTTTGTATCTACTAACATAACAGTGTTCCCTGTTAAGCTACTAAACTATATAATGGGTTCCTGATGCTAAATCATCTTACAATCTTTAGATACATCCTACTTGGAATGCTGGATTGTTTTATTTATTCACTGCTAGATTTAAGATGTTTGAGGATGACCTAAAATGTTCTTGACTGTCCTTGTCTGGTTTTGTTAACAAGGTTATATTTGACTCATAAAACGTCTAATTATTTGTATACAACAAAGATGATTTATTCTCTGAAGGCTCAATCAAATTCAATGATAAAACCTCCGGGCCTGGGAGTGTTTCTCCACAGAAGTTTTAGATTATATCAGTTTTCAAGCTATAGGTTTATTCAGGTTTCCCATTTCTTCTCTTTTCTAAGTCAATTTTGATAATTAAGGTTTCCTAAGAAATTATTTACCATATCTAGTTTTTTTAATGGATTTGCAAAAAGCCTCTTCACAATGTTCTATCTAAATCTCCTCTGTACCCAATGCTTTCTGATACTGTATTATATTTGTGCCTTCTCACAAATCACAAATTTTTGCCAATTCTGGCCACAAGTTTGTCTATTTAATTAGAGGTATGCCGAAGTATAATCTTAAACTCACATTGAAATTTTTACAAAATGAAGAAAACAGAACTGAGTGAATGTGAAAAACTCAATGTTCTAATTCTAGACCCAACCCTTACCTTCTTCATACACCAATTTTGCCTTCTGTCCAGGACAAGTCATTCCTTTTGTTTTTTCTGATGCTGTAACCTGAAAGATGATAAAATCCAATCATGAAGTACAGTACGTAAGTTTATCCCAAGCATCACAACCACCACCAAACTCAACCTCCACCACTGTAATGGATGACCTTAATACATAATGTGGACCAAACACAGGACAAAAAAAAAAAAAAACTTCAAATACGAGAATTTCTCTATAAAAGTTAGGAAACCCTTTGAAGTGATTACAATTCCTTTCTGTGCCAAAATTTAACTATATAAATACCTTGTAACTTGTTTTTCAAGGAGCCCTGATGGTGCAGTGTTTAAAGTGCTCAGCTACTAACCGAAAGGTCAGGAGTTTGAACTCACTAGTCGCTCCACAGGAGAAAGATGTGGCAGTCTGCTTCCATAAGATTACAGCCTTGGAAACCCTATGGGGCAGTTCCACCCTGTGCTATAGGGTTGCTAAGAGTCGGAATCGACTTGACTGCAGTGGGTTTGGTTTGGGTTTTAACTTGTTTTTCACCGTAACTCAACCAATCCTAACTGTATTACGGCTGAAACACAGTGTGTTCAGAACCTCTGAATAAAAGGTAAAATAGGCACAGCTAAGTTTTCTCACTGTCAAAATACATAACATCTCCAAGGTAAAGAATAAATCTGAAATAGGAAGCTCTGAATGTTCAGGTAAAAGGCCCTTATTCCCCTCTCCATTCCTATCACATACAAAAGTTCTAGCACAAAACAATTTGATTATTTACTCACTTGTGTGATTAGAAGGATGAGTTTTCCATGAAGGTGGGAGAGTTTCTGGAAAGTTCGGACTCTGCTGTCCAGTAACTGGTAGAGTGTCCTCAGCTGGGATACCAGGTCAGGCAACTGGGGAAAAAGTGACCATTTGATACTATGATCAAGTTATACAGATATGCAGACACACAAACCATGATCTGTTCTGCCCAGGTATTTTGCCACTGTACAAGCATCTATCTGCTCACAAACACTTCCTGTGGCAGGAGGTGGCTTAGAGCACAGCCTAGCAACATCTCAGGTGTTCCATGTCCTAACAGCAAAACACAGTATTGTTTTTAAAAATCACAATGCGAGGTCAGGAGGGAGAAACTGCAGGGTGGGACTGTTTTGTATGGATCAAATTATTGCAGATAGGTAAAGATAAAGAGAACACTACACTAGAGGGGGGTTCTTCTGAATCTAAGTCTAACATGAGGCCCCAAGGAGCTAGGGGAAGGTTTTTACAATCTCTACCTTTAAAAGGCCAGAGACACAGTAGGATAAAGTGCGAAGTTGAGATTAGAGAATTTTAAACATACTCTGTTAAGGAACCCTCTGAATCATACTTAGAAATTAAAGCAGAAAATTCTTTTTTTTTTTTTTTGTCCCTCCGGAGCTACGGAAAAAAAGGACCTCACTCTTTGTCCTTTAATTACCCTTTACTTGCCCTCCAGTCAGAAACCCTGGTGGTGTAGTGGTTAAGAGCTATGGCTGCTAACCAAAAGGTCAGCAGTTCAAATCCACCAGGCACTCCCTGGAAACTCTATGGGGCAGTTCTACTCTGTCCTACAGGGTCACTATCAGTCGGAATCAACTCGACGGCAATGGGCTTAGTTTTTCTGGTTTTTGCCCTCCAGTCTCTGATAACTCAGGGTAAATAAGTACTTCATTCAAATGTTAATAAACTTTACACAGTAAACGGACACAAAAATGGATGATGATTACATTTCAGTCAATTTACATCATCTCCTTGCGCTTGTCCCCATTCAGACAGTAAGCTCCAGGAAGATGGGGATCAGAGTGCCCTGAATATTGCTAAATCCCCTATGCCTAGCACTGTACCTGGCTCAGAGACGGTACTTAGCTATCTGTGTAAAGAAGGGAAAAATGAAGGAAGAGATGAAGGAAAATCACTGTTTTCTAAAGAGAGAGAAATTGTGGGCTGTGGGATCCTCCCTATACCACACTTCTTTGGTCTGTTTTACCATGACCTTGAATGTTACCCCACTACTGCTCTGGTAGTTATATCTGAGAAGTTGATTCCAGAAGGGATTTCACTGTAAGGCTTCTCAGACCTCTTTTCACTTCCAAGCAAGTAACTGAGGCCACAAAACGAGCTCCCCTATTACCCAGCCAGAGTCCTAAGACTGGATGCATGCTGTGATCTTTCCACACCCGCCACCTTGCCACTCAGCCACTCCACTCACCTCTACCCCCAATCTTCATCTCCCAACATTCCTACAAGCTGGGAGACCCAACACACATTCTCACACTCTCCTGTCTCTTCCCCATCCTAACGTCTCTGATAGAGTTCCCTCCAGACACACAAACTGCTAACCTCAAAGCAGGTTACACAGGAATTTTCCCCATTTCAAACCACTGACAGCAAAATGAGCCAGAGACAGAGGACAAGGGACAGTGACCAAGCAGGAGGGGGTGAGAGTGTGTTAAGAGAGGAAGACTATAGGTTAAACAGTAATTACAGATTGTTTTAAACTATCCACTATAACCTTTTAACAAAACCTACTGTGAGTGCTAGATAAGCAAGTAAAAGAATAAACAAATTATGTAATTTTATATCTAGCTTAAAATGTAACTGATGTAATGATGTAACAAAGAATCCAACTCATACTGTGACATATAAATGTTTTTTTTTTCTGGTGTTGCTTTAAGATTTTAGGTTCCATCCCTTCCATTTGCACAGATAATTGAGAGCTAACAGCGCCTCCAACAAAATGCCAGATACTAAATATTTAATTTAGATCACTTATGTATCCTCACAAGATACCTTTTATCCTCTTAGAACAAGGTATGAACAAGACAGGCAGACATGTGAGCATATATAGAAATTTTTACACCTTGGTAAGTTTCTATGGATCCCTGCTGGCGCAATGGTTAGGCACTCAGCTGCTAACCGAAATGTTGGCAGTTCAAAGCCACAAGGCGCTCCACAGGAGAAAGATGTGGCAGTCTGCTTCCATAAAGATTTACAGCCTTGGAAACCTATGGGGCAGTTCTACTCTGTCCACAGGGTCGCTTAAAGTCGGAATTGATTCGATAGCAGTAAGTAAAGTTTTTAAAAGGAAGGCGAGGGATACATATAATGTAAAGGCAATTCTGCTGTAAAGGTTTTATGCATAAAAAAAATCTGAAGGGAAATATATCAATATATAACTTTTCTCCTTTCTACATTTTCCCAAAGCTCTCTACAGAATATATGTTACTTTATGTAAAAGACCAATTTATAAAAGACAATAATGTGACATTATGAAAATGCTCAGGTTATTGTACCTGGGGAAAAACAAAATCTCTAAAGGAAGCATTTGATGGTTTTGTTTAGCCATCAGTATAATCAGAGTCAAACTATTCCTGCTCAGCAACTATAATGAAAAGACTTACTGTGGAGAGATATGATGCATGAACTGTTAACACACATTTTAGCCACTGAACCATTAAAACAGCACTGAAAAAAAAGAAAAAAATCCAAGTGAACTAGTGTTCACATATTCAAAATTAAATATAACTCAATTACAAAATTAGAAAAACTCAGATAGGCAAAGTGAATATCTATAAATTGTAATCTGTGAAGATGACTATAATAAATTACTATAAACTTGACAACTCCTTCATTCTTTCACTGAGTCTATTTGAGATCTGTGTTGTTAATAACCTCAGTGGGGTGGGGTGCAGGGGCACAACAAGGAATGGAAACAGGACAAAAATCCTTTCCTCTAAAACAATTCAATTCAAGAATAAAACCCATTCATTATGTCATAATATACTGATATGAAGGCAGTTATATTTATCTAGACTGGGCTCAATCAATTTCACATTGTATTAAAGCCCATGTTTGAGCCTATCATCTAATCAATGACAGACACAAACAGTAAAGATTTCTACCCCAATGTTAAAAGGTAACTACAGACCAAAAATGTGTAAACCTGGCCTAATTCATGAATTCTTTAGCCTTTTTCCTTTGTGAGCTTCAAAGGCTACTTAATGAAGCCTATCAGGAAAAAAATTTTTAGAAAAGACAAACCTGTATATTGTAGACACTGGTAATACTATACTATAAACTTAGGATCTAAGCAAATTATTAAGAAAAAAGACCCCCAAATTTTTGTCTTTTAGCTAAAATACTTCCTTACACTGTCTTAAGCAGACACCAGAGGTCAGCAAGTTCTATGACAATTTTATATATCATGGTTAAGACTAAATCACTAAATTCACTTGAATTAAATAATAAATGATAATAAAGTTGAAGTATCTACATAGGAGTTTTCTAAAGGAAAAAAATTAATAATCAAATCTTAGGAATAAGAATCATTCCCCTTAAAAAAGGTGAGGGAGCAAGTAATATTTGATATTTGAAGAGTGTTATTAGTTAGAATTGGGGCTACTCAATATTTAATTTCATGCTGCAGACACTTCAGTTTTTAACAATGGCCTCTAACAGATTTATAAAAACAAATCAAGTGAAGTCGCCTAAACATCTTACCTATTAGGATGTCCTTGCAATCTCTTTGTCAGCTGAGGAGGAGAAAAGCACATTATCAACAGCACTTTAGAAGCAACCAGTCGCCATAAATTCCCATGGAACACACACCCATAATGACACAGGAAAACAATGATTTTGTCAGGAAATCATTATTCCATTTAGTGGTGTATTTTCAACCAAAATAATATATTCTAGGAATACATTTCTACAAGAGTAATTGCCTGGAAAAAAAATCTAGGATAGGATTTATATGAAATGTCCAGAATAGGCAAATTCATAGATAGGAAACAGGTAAGTGGTTGGACGGGAGTGGGGATGGGGAGTGACTGCTAATGCATAAGGGATTTCTTCTTGGGGTGGTGAATATACTAAAAAACAGTGAACTGTATGCTTTAAAAGAGTAATTTTATGGTATGTGAATTATATCTCAATTAAAAACATACACAGAAAATAATCTAAGCTAGGCAAAATTTGTTTGAGTAGACAATATTCTAAAAACGTAACTAGGGCTCTCCTAATACACTCCTAACACATAATACTTTTTTAAATATTAAGGTTCCCTCTATTAATAATGGTACACCATCCACATTAATACCAAAACTATATTCACAAAACACTTTAGCATTTTAAACAAGTATAATCCAAGTATAATCTCTAATCACAAAGAATCCATTTTATCTTTAAGCCTAATTTTAACAACCTATACCCACTCTTTTAGGGTAGCTTCTGTCAAATTATGTATGCATTTAAAAGAGACAAAGGAAAAATTTTTTTTCTTAAGGTAAGTGGTGATTATAATATTCTTTGAATTCAACACATGACACACCTCAGTAAACAGTCCCTTCACCAGCTCTCCAGCGCCTGCTGAACCTGGGATTTGGTTTAGTGTGAGTTCTACGTTGGTGCCCTTACAGGCCACCAACGACTGCACATAGCCTTCCTGTGGCCCAGCACTCCCACTGCCTTTTTCTTGTCTAGCTGCTACCCACCCCTTTCATGTAACACCTTTAAACAGAGTTACTTAAGCAAAGTCAGTTCAACCATTTGTCAGAAAGAATGAAAGTTACTCTTCAAGATGCCAGAGATGATGCCACACTAGATAATCTTAATCTTAATCCCTCTCCAATTCCATGGACCCCTGGAGGCACTGGTTAAGAGCTCGGCTGCTAACCAAAAGGTCAGCAGTTCAAATCCACCAGCTGCTCCTTGGAAACCCTGTGGGGCAACTCTACTCTGTCCTGTAGGGTCGCTACAAGTCAGAATCGACTCAACAGCAATGAGTTTTTTGGTACATGAAGATTAAGAGCACTTCTGGATTAAAAAAAGAAAAATCAAAGCACATAAAAGATGTTTTCATGTTAGGTTAGGGTACTTTGCAGGACATAGTGAGGAAAACCAAAATGAGAATTTGGGCTCTACACTGGGATTTCTGGAACAATCATCCTCAGGTAGACAACATCCTGCACATAAAGCACTCTATGGTTCACTCTAAAGTTCCAAATGCCTTTCAAGGAAACAAACATGTACTAGTGGAATAAAAATAAAATGCCAAAGACACGTATTTAAAATAAAAAATATGCCAATGATATTTCCTTTCATCACCTAAGGAATTCATCAACTTACTATTCTTTCTAAAGTACTTAAGAGTTCCTTTATTCATCTACTCTCTAAAGGCCATCCAATTCTCTAAATACTGGATTTTAAAGTATTAGGACTTTAAAATGAAAAAAGCAGTTACCTCTTGCAACAACGGAATAACAGCATGCAAGGGCATCCTTAACACAGTCTTCTTTATTAGGTTTACATTCCTAGTTTGGAGTACTTTCTGAGGGAAAATAAAAGAAATATTAAGATGAGCACACTCAAAAGCTAATGACACTATAGGGGAAAATGTCTGTGAAAATGATTAAATAGACCAAGGCAATAAACTACCAACTCGATTTTAGCCAGCAAAGTATGGAGGGACTGAATCTGAATAGACAATGCTATGTCTTGTGGTACAGCCTTCAGTTATCAAAAATTTACTTCAACAAACAGGTTTCTTCTCTATAAACTCTAATGTTTTATGAATCAAACTTTCATTTAAAATACCGAAGAGTATCTCTAGACATTTAAATACAGATACATACACTTTAGAAAACGGAAGTTCCCAAATCTTTGTTTTATGACATTAGAGATGTGTCTACACAAGTATGGGCCAAACATAGCAAAATCATACTTAAAAAGCAACAAACCTTTTAAAATAAAGGGTCAACTTTTTGACAAAATTTTAAACCAACCAAAAGATCATATAATGAAAGTCTGAACCAAAACTATTATGCCTTTCTGGGTCAATCTATGAGCGAAACCCAGCCTGAAGCCCAGGATATAGAAAAGGAGGTAAAGCAGCTCAGTCCTGATCCTGACACTCAGAAGCTGCATCCTCCTGCACAGGCCACTCCACTTCTCCAAACCCCAGCTGCTTCATCTGCAGAGGAAAGGGTATACAAGAAGATCCCCTTTAGGTCTCAAAAATCTTGATCCCCCATCACTTTCCTCTTAAACACTTTTAAATATTTATTCTTCCAAAAGGTTTTGCTCCTAGAGGAACTCCCCTAATGGTGAATGCTATATTTTGGTTGCTGCTGTAAGACATGCACAGGATATGAGCACCAGAGCGCTGAAGGGCAAAAACATAGAACGTAAGTTTCTAACCTATTTAACAGTTCCTCACATAACCTATCAGAATTCCCTATGGATTATATTTGCTTAAAAAATATCTTTACACTAACACCCTCCCAAAAAATCAAGTACTATTTAAAAAGTTATCACTTAATTATAATTAAGAAGTACATAGTTTCTTAAGGAAAAAAAAAAAACTTTTTATACACAATTACTGGGGAACTGAGGGGATGAACTGTTGTAATTTGATAGCCTCAACTAACCTAAATTTGTCATTTTCAAACAATCAGAACACACGACTCAACGCAAAATATGCTAATCATAACTTTAACAATTCAGAAGGTGCTTGAGGATACTGAATATTTCTCAAATCACCTCTTTATTATATCAGTTATCACAAAGTTCCAGTGATGGAGAAGCTATAGGAAATATTCCATCCAACTAGTCTACAGATTACTTTGAGATACGACACATTCACCCCATTACGAGTCTTCACTGTCTTACATGGTCAAGTAGAGTAGCGGCATTTCGGCTCAATGAATACTATCTTGAACTTGTTGCTTACCATTATTTATAAGAAAAGCTTGGTTAAGAAATATAAGGAGGACTGAAGGTTTAAAAGATGTGCAGTCTGTGAAATCTTCTAATACTCTACAAGTCATGATATAATTTTAAACGATATATAAACTGGGTCACTTCTGAGAGTGAATGCAATCCTATTAATAACTACACTATGATAACAGGAGAGAACAAGGACAGGCAAACAAGAATACATGTGGTCTAGCTATTTAGAAGTTATTCCAAACTGCAGGGCAGAAAAATTTTTTAACAAGTTTTCAGTTAATTCTTATGCCCACTAAAGACTGAGGCTCTGTGGTAACAATGTGCAAATTTTAAAATAAAAAACAAAGGTTATCCCAAACCAGCATCACTGCCTGACTTTTGTTGAGGACATATTTAAAGAAGTTATAACTACCAAGAAGATGATGATGAGAATTGGATTTTTCGTTTACAACTTTACTGCAGTATAATTTAAGCATTCTAAACAGCAGTTAAAGTGCACAATTTGACCTATATGGCATACATATATACCCATGAAACAAACACTGTTGTAAAAATAAGCATTCCACTACCCTGAAGTCTCCTTAGTCGCCTTTACAATACATGCCTCCTTCCACCCTCCATCCCCAGGCAACCACTGGCTTGCACAGGCTTGCATTTTCTAGAATTTTTAAATAAATGAAATCATACAGCATTTACTCACTGAGGGACATACAGGTTCTTTCCAGTTCTGGGCTACTACAAATAAAGCTGTTATAAACATTCATGTACAAATCTTTGAATGAATATGTTTTTTATTCTCTAGACTGGCTAGGTCTTATGGTAGGTATATGTTGAACTGGAAGGCACTCTGGTGGTGCAGTGGTTAAAGCACTCAGCTAATTGAAAGGTCAGGTTCAAACCCACTACCTGCTCTGCAGATGTGGCAGTCTGGTTTCCATAAAGATTTATCGCCTTTGGAAACCCTATGGGACAGTTCTACTCTGTCTTACAGGGTCGCTATGACTTGGAATCGACTTGACAGCAGTGGGTTTTTTATGTTAACTTGAGAGTTCAAGTTGTTCCACACCTTCACCATTCTTTCATTTTAACCAATCTATAATGGGTATACAATTATCTCCCTGTGGTGATAATTTACATTTCTGTGATGATTCATGATGTACAATGCCTTTACATGTGCTTATTAGCCATTCAAATTCTTATGTGAAGTGTCTGTTTCAAATCTTTCACCATTTTTTAAAACTTTGTTCTGTTCTTTTTATTACTGAGTTGTAAGAGTTCTTATATATTTTGGACATAAATCCTTTGTCTGATATATGAGTTGCGAATATTTTTCCTCTGGTCTGGGGCTTGGCTTTTCATTCTCTGAACAGGGTGTTTCAAGAGCAGAGTTTTTTAATTCCGATGAAGTTCAACTGACCACCTTTTTTAATGTTTCATGCTCTTTGTGATATATCTAAGAAATGTTTCCCCACCCAAAGTCATGTAGATATTCTCCTGTTTTCTTCTAGAAACTTTGTAGTTTTGGGTTTTATGTTTAGGTCTATAGTCTATTTTGCATTGATTTCTGTATATGCTGTGAGGTAAGAGTTGAAATTCATTTTCCTCCATATGCATATTCAGGTGGTCCAGTACTAATACTTGAAAAGACTGCTTTCCCCCCACTGACTCGCCCTGGCATGGCATCATTGCTAAAAATCAATTATGTGTGGACTATTTCTGGATTCTATTCTGGTCCCTTAATCTACATTTATTTTTTCACCAGTATCAAACTACGTTGATTACTACAGCTTTAACTCAAGATGAAGCAGGGTAAATCCTCTAACTTTGTTCCATTTTATAACCGCTTTGGTTATGTCCGGTCTTTTTGCATTTCCATACAAATTCGAGGGTCAGTTTGTCAATTTCTACTAAGAAGGCTGCCGGAATTTTGATTAGAAATGCGTTATATATAAATTAATTGGGGGAGAATTTCTCCTCTTAGTAATACTGAACCTTCTAATCCATAAAAACATGGTTTTAGCTCTCTAGGTATTTAGGTCATTTAAGTTCTCTCAACATTGTTTTGTAGTTTTCAATATAGAGGTATAGGCATCTTTTGTTAAGATTTATCCTAGGTGTTTTTTAGCACTACTGTAATTGGAATTTTTAAAAAATGTAAGAATTTAAAAACTTTTAAAGATATTTTAAAATCATTTTGTCTTCTGTATAATAAGAATTACACAAATGACTAGGCTTCTCTTTTTGCATAAGCTACAGGATCAAAATTCCACCTTCCTAATGCCAGAAATTTTAATGTCAAGTTTTCTATGGTAGGCATTCTTAACCTCATTTCTGGTCCCATGTTGTATCCCTGCCATTGCTCAATTTATTCTTTTGTTCCTATTTTAAAGTCCTCTTATTATAGTTTATGTATCCTCATAAGGCACCTTTTGAGAATAAGGAGGACTATTTTTAGGGGAAAAAAATATTTAACATTTTTTTACTGGCCTCTTTCTCTTTCAAGTGGAGTGCAGAATGTGTAGCTGCGTAATCTCCTAGGTTACACACTATGGAAATATTTTCATACTTTCTTTCAAGGGCATTGTTTTAAGCCCTTCACTGTAACTTTTAGAGGTCTTTTAGAGTGCACAATTTTTTTAGCATTCAACTAGTTTCCAATTACTTCCACTGAATTAACAACATACCACCTCAAACTCCTTAATAATGAATGACAATGTCTTAGATGTATAATGCTTTACAATTTAAGACGTGCTTTTGTGAACAGAATTTCATTTGTCTGTCCAAAAATACTATGATACCACTGGCATTATTACACTGAAATGAGGGAAACAATGCACAAAGACACAAAGGGATATGCATAAGGTCCCACAGTTATGAATGGTGAAACTGCGTTCAATTCCAAATCATGTGTTTTTTTCCCCAAAATGTGTGACTCTCAAAGAGTATACACTAAGCTGCAGCATAGCTACAGCATCCATAGTTCCCCTTTTGAACACAGTCAAGATTAGCTCTCCTAGGATCTCCTAGAGTAAGTATGGCCACTGGACTGACTTCTACTCAATGGAGTGAGTGTATGTGCTAAAGTGGAATGTGCCACTTAATGGGCCTGATTCATAAAAACTTCCACAAAATCCTGCATACTCTTTCTTGCTCCAAGATAAACGAGATGGTAATACCCAGGGTGATCTCAGAAAGCATAACATGAAAATGGCAGAACTGCCATTAATCTGGGTCCCTAACTCTACACAAAAGAGCCCCCAGAGAGTATTCAATTATTTTAAGAAAGGAAAAATAAACTTCTGTGAAGCTATTCCATTTTGGGTTTACCATACCCTAACTGTACTTATTAACTGAAATGAATATATAAATCGATACTTTGCATTCGTAGAAAACTCTGGGACTGTGCAGTACATACTAATAAATATGTGCAATTAATTTCTAAGCACAGTGGATTTAACTCCACTTTCTTTCCTTTGCAATGCTCACCTACATCTAAAACATAACAGGTTTTATTTTAAACTAAATGACTTTAGGTAATTTTTATTATGCTTAAAATCAATTGGTAATGATAAACTGAAAACGCATGAAATAAATGTTTAAATCCACGTATTCATAATGACAGTCAGGAAAAAAAACTCATTCGCCTTCTTTGGTGGATGCTAAGGAACCAGTTTTTTGAAATCTCGGAAGTAAAGGGAAAGAATAAAGCATTTATTAATCTTGCATTTCCTAAACAAACTGTACCGCAGGATAACAAAAAAGATCATTTTGCACACTCAAATTATGAATCTAGACAATGATCAACTGCCACTAATATCACAAAAAGAGAATGCCAGAGCTCCTGACAGAAGTGCACATCTATAAGCATTCTTGCCTAGAAGATTCCAACCTGAATTTCAAGCTTCTAGATCTAACTAATTACGTGAGCTCCTGTTTTGAAGAAAGCAAAAATAAAAACTTTAAAAGTTTATGAAACAATCAGGGAAACAGAAACACTAACTGGATACTTGATTATCTTAAGGAATTACTGTCTACTTTTTTAGGCGTGATAATGAATTCTCGTTATATTTTAAAAAGGAGTTGCTATCTTCAGAATTAAACAGGAATGTATTTATGGATGAAATGCAGGGCCAGATTAAGGCACATGAGGGCCCTAAGCACTGATAATCTGTTGTGCCCCTTCCTCTGCTTACTCATGCATTCAAACAGATGTGTTATATATATATACACGTGTGCGCGTGTCTCTTAGCTATTCATGATATAACTTCTTTTTAAATGCAACTGTAATATTAGCAACTGAATGCAAACCTGGTGTATGCCATTTTAGTGGATGCAGGGTACTAATATTTTTACTATATACCATATTTTCTACAAAAAGAATATTCCACACCTACCTCGTTTATTAAAAAGAAATAGTATACTCCCAAGAAACCCACTGAGATAAGGTGTTTCAATTACACAGCAGGGGACCATAGGAGACAGATGTCAACACAGGTGTTGAAGTGGTAGGGGGTCTCATAGCTTAAACAACTTTGCCCGTGGGCGCCCTCGTGACCCTGTGTGAACTTTATTTCTCGATGGCACATTCTCATGCACTGGAGCTGGTATCAATTTCATTTAGAGCCCTGCCAGTTCCCTTTCACCGTGGCGCTTGCTTTTGTGTCCTGTTTGCTTGACATCTATAGGTCTTTGCTTTGGACAACTGGTGCCCCTGTATTGTTGATGCCCTAATAAGCACGTGCTTACTTTGCTTATTGAGTAATCTGTCCCTGATGCAATGATATATCTGGGATTTGCTTCACCATAACCTGGGAGTGGTAAGGGTGGGGGGAAGTATGTGGGCAAATAAAACAAGATTGGCCAGTGCTGATAACTGGTGAATTTGGGTGACTGGTTCATGGGACCAGTGTACTATTTTGTTTTTAAATTTTTCTTAGTATAGTTAAAAGAAGAAAAAAAAAGGTAATTGATGCATTGTCATCTATTAAGGAGGAAGGCTTCAAAAGCATAGTTCAATTGGCAATGATGACACACAGGTTATATTACATTTCAAAAACACTGTCAATTGTTTTCTATTGCTTCTTCATTTTTCACCAAATCCTCACCGAGGTTTCTAGTGCAATGGTAAACTAAAATCTACCATCCAAAATACATAAAAATATTCCCATTTGGACCAAAATATAAATTAGAGAGACACTATTCATGGGTTATGTATAATATTAAAGTCACATATATACTAAGTGGCGCAATAATAGTGCTATAAGTCACTAAAATAAGTGCACTTAACAAATGTAAATTTTTTTTGCTCTGATCAGGCAGCGCTTAAACCCAACCGTTTTGTACACTTAAATTTGTTTTATGGACAACTGTCAAATTCTGGAATTTAAAAGAATAGAATTAAGTAACTACATACAAGCAGTCACCAACTTACAAACACAGAAATTATAAATGCCTCTCCTTATACAAAGTTTTTATTACTTTTACCTCTAATACGTCACAACAGTACCCCCAACCCTCTTGAACCTTTCCCCCAAACCTCCTACCCATTGCCAAGGTTCCACCTCACTGCCCCCTTCACGGCCAGGGGGAAATAAGTTTCTGGAATCCAGAGTAAAAACTCAGGAACGCATTTTCCTACAGAAAAAAATATAAATTGTGATCTAGAATGCTGAGAATTATAGTTCAGCTACACTACGTTTATTAAGGCTTTTATGGATTAAGCCTAAGAACCTAATAACCATTAAGAACAATATTTCTATGAGAAAATGCATTCCAGGTTCAAAACAACCAAACACAATCCCTTTGTAGGTTGGTGACTGTTCACATAGTGCCACCAAGTGATACATATTTGACTAAATTCATAAAATATGAAATTCAACAGTTATTCAACATGACTATCCACTCTATGAATATGGTAACGTCAATTACTTTGTAAGAAAAATTAATCATCTTTAGTTTCTTAAAAAGCTACTATAATACTTACATTTAACATTTCAAAATCATTACTTTCTAAACCCTGTGTAAGAAGAACTGGAAAACTATTTGTCTGTGGAAGGTCATCTTTTCCTTTTTTTGAATCTATATCCATTGCTCCCAGGCGTTCTTCAATGCTAACCTACAGAACAGAAATGATTTGGTTAATGTTGACTGCATCCTATTATTCAGGTAGACTGACTACACAGACAAGGCCTAAAGCAGTTTGTTCAAATTACTTTGTGCCTGTATCTCAGAGACAAAAAGCAATGGAGGAATAATTTAAGAACAGCAATATTATCCCTGAGCTCCTCCACCCGAAAAGTGGGACTTTTAAAATCAGCTTTACAACATAACCATCTTTCTCTAATGACAAAACAGCTGAAATTCCAGATTTCTTAGACAAGAGTGGAGAATGTGAATGGGCGATTAAAATAGGACTCTGCATAGACACGTACAGGGAAGTTTTGGGAGGGGAGAAGTCTATGAGCCCTTTAAGGGACTACAGTGACAACCACTTCTAAAGACCAACAAGCACTAAAGCAGCCAGGACTGCTCAGCTAGCCAAGAGAAAGGAGGCATCACTGGAACTCAGCGACATGCGAAACCTAGTGAGAGTCATCACGGCAAGTCCTGGCTTCACTCACTCACTTTTACATGCTATTCGGCTAACTATTAACAAATGGCCAAGAAAGCACCCTCTTCAGTTAATAAAAGTTCTGTCTTCTCCACTAAACAGTGGCCAAATCAAGTCTTACAAAGGTCACAATCTGGAATTTCAGAACCTACAATGCCGCAGATAAAAGAGGGTAGCAATAATCTCAGTTAAATTTCTAAAGTTTCAACTTTGGCTCTCTCCAATGTATTTGTTACAATCTCCCACGTAATCTTACATTTGTGCATTACCTCATTTTCCCCTAATTTCCTCTTGCTCTCTAATTCCTCAGCTTGTGGAGTCACAGGCTTAACCACTGCACAATGGCCAGGAATCCCGGGCACCAGAACTTTGGCTTCAGAATTCATCACTGGTGTTCTCACCTGTCCAACAGGATGGCAGGGGTGTGCCAAAGGAAATTACAGCTTAGTCTTTCCAAGATTTATCCTCATTGAGAAAACTGACAGCTGCTGAAAGCTTTTTCTATTGAAAAACTCAACATAATTAACAATACAACGTGAATTAAAAATAAATTTTAATTGACTCTGGCAAGTAAGTTTTAAAATGATAATCTGAAAATTCAGTTTTAAAGCTTAAAATACCATGTAAGAATAAAACCCAGGAGGGAGGGGGTCTACAGATGATACAAGGACACTTTGGTCTGAACAATATCAGAGCCTGCAGCTGCACATTTTCCAGCTATCTCCCATAATCTCACTGCCAGGAACACTCAGACAGCCAAGAGAAATGTGTCAGCACTGACACTCAGCCAGAAGCGAAACCACGTGGATGTCATCACACCATGTCCTGGCTTTCGTTTTCTCAACAAACTTCCAAGCATACAAGATCTATATGTAGAGGCAAAGTTATATTCAAAATAGAGCACCATGATGCTCTTCTTATATGTAATACTAAATTCCGGGCCCATCGTGGTTTTATTTCACCCTGAAACACAGGTTCCCCCTCCATCAAACTAAGTATTGAAATTGATTTAAAAAAAAAAATCATTTCTTAAAAACAAACTTATTTGAATAAGTCCAAAGCATATTACTTGAATGAGTATATAAATATGATTCACAACTACAATGAGTCAGGGAATCCGGCAGGACTTTGTTCCTTCAATACTTCCTAACATAACTCAGATTGTGCCAGTTATAAACACATTTCACATAACTAAATGTGGAGAATTCAAATCTCTTTTTTGTCAACTTCAAATCTGTACTGCACTTACCTTTGTTATGGCAGTTTCTACTTTTGGGGCCCAGCAGCTTGAAATATCTCTTACTAAACACACATGAGGTTCTTTGGAGTTTATAGCCTGGGAATACATTTTTAAAAGAAAGGAGAGGGGTAGGAAAAAAAAGTGTGTCAAATAAAGCAATTGGGAATAAGAACAAAAGGAAAAACAAATGAACAACTGTGCATTTTTACAAAAAAAAAAAAAAAAACAGACACACACACAAAAATACATGGAACACTTCCACACAAAACTCTTGGCCAGGATCACCAGTCAGACTGACAGCAGTTGAAGAGAACAAGTAAACCCTAAAGACACAGGGCACAACGTTTACTTTCTTCAGTTATGAACTGCTTAAATTTTTCACATTTATAGTTTTAAAAGATCAAAAGATCTTTCAAACGTAATGGATTCTAGAAGAAATCACCCTTATAAAGAATAATCATCGCACAAAAAAAAAAAAATAGTCCTATCCTAAAACTTCCCACTGCTATCTTTTCCAGAAGCAATCCAAGACAGCAGTTCCGATTAACAAAACGCTCTGAGGTAGGTGCTGATAGGAATGCCCTCCAAGACATATTAAATGGGGGAAAAAAGCCAGATACAGCAAAGCATGTATATATCCATTTATGGTTTAAGGCTATATGTAACTCTGTATGCCCATATGAACAACCAACATCAAGGGAGGAACACAAAACAAATAGGTAACATACAGAACGGAGGCTTATGTTTCACAGCTTACACTCCTCTCCTTTTTACATAAGTTTTTTAAAAATAAAATTTATTTTTTTAACTCAGCTAGAGTTTGCTTGGACACGTGAGCATTCCACTTCAGAGTCTCCCTGAGGGTTTTACTGAATGTAAATGTATGCCTAAGAAATCACCTGCCATCAGACATGCCCCTAATCTCACTGAAAGCCTTTAAAGAAACATTTGCAATTCAAAATGTTAAATCATTGCACTGCCCGTTATATTACCACTTAGAAAATTCAATGGGTGCTACTACTGAGGATTCTTTTATTAAAAGGTTTTCGTTTGTATAACTGGACAAAATTCACACAGAAGATATACCTATGCTGACCAAAATGGTAACTACTAGAGGCACATGTGGCTACTGAGCATTTGGAATGTGGCTAGTCCAAACCAAGATGGGCTGTAAGAGTAAAATAAACCAGATTTTGAGGACTTAATACCAAAAAAAAAAAAAAAAACGTGTAAAATTTCTCAAAGAATTTTTCTTTTATACTGACTAGGTATTAAAACGATTATTCTGGATACACCATGCTAAAGAAAATACAGAGTTCTCACAAATCAAAATAAACCACCCAATGAAAGGTCCTCTTATTAAAAGAGAATATATTATTTCTTTTTAAGTGTTCCACTAAGCAGACCAAATATCATTTTTAAATCATCCTTTTCCATGGATATTGTGATGCTATATTGTTTTACTTCAGGGTAGCATCTACGTACCACTCGTTCAATGGTGGGCTGAAACCAACTGCCATACACAAGCAACAATGACATTTTGTCTGAGCAAAAACCAGCTGCTAGAATAGGGATGGGTTTTGGTGTAGATTTCTTGCCTTTCCCAGATGTTGCTATCTGAATTGTGCAGTTTGAACTCAAAGGTTTTTTACAGAATCTAGAAATGAAAAAAATTAGAGAATTTGAAATCAGAACATCTCATACTAATTCTGTGAAGCCAGCATCAAGTCATGAGATGGGACCCACCTCCTCCAGCCACTACCCTTCTTCAAGACTGACCAGGGTCCTCAGACCACTAGGGCCCCTGATCAAGCATTCCCTGCTCCCCACACCCACCAATACTCAAAACCTTACCACCAAAATCTGCCTGGAGATCCATCTACTCTTCTGTCCCATTTTGTCAGACCTCTCAAGTAGCCTAGGTTCCCAAGTCACCCACCTCTCATGATCCTGAGCTTCAGAACCCATGTGGCTCTTACCTGCCCTATTCCAACCAGCCACCTCCAATTGCTCCCACCTCCCAAAAGCCTCACTATGACTTCTGGAATGCAGTCATCGCACTCTTGCGCCATCCTGATTCACCCTGGTAGCTCTACCAAGTTGTAGCTGTTTTCTCCACCATATCGTTTGTGCCTGGGGCCTTGGACACATGTGCTCCTTGTTCTTCACTGACACTTCACGACAACAATCTCTCCCCTCTTTGTCTCTAAAACCTCTGAAATTCTTGTCACCAGATACAAGCTACCCCTCCTTCTTCCGTCTTTGGGTCACTCTGCACATTTCTTAAAAGATTTTAGTGACTCACTGTCATTCTTTCTAACACTAAACCCCAAAACCAAACCCACTGCTGTCGAGTCAATTCTGACTCATAACAACCCTATAGGACAGAGTACCACCACCCCACAGGAGCAGCTGGTGGATTCGAACTGCCTGCCTTTTAGTTAGTAGCCGTGGCTCTTAACCATTGCGCCAGCAGCTCCCCTTTCCAACACTACTCCTACTAAATTCCTTTCTTAATGATTTTCATATCCAGCATCCAGGCTGATGATCCTTCTAATACCTTGGCCTCTCAGATCCTTAAGTTTCCCACCTTCACTGTACATCAGCTACTCCTCACATCCCAGACACCTTACTACGCTTATGACCAATACACGCATGCTCTAGAATCTCAATTTGAAGCATCCCATTCTCCTGCTATCTTTCCAACTCATTCCTTCTAGTATACTGACTCTATAACCATCTATACCCAGGATTTTTGGTCTCTGCTTTGGCCTTTACCCCTCTATAGTCTATTCTCAATACAACATGTAAAATAATTGTCTTAAAACTTAGGTCAAATCCCATCATTCTGCCCTGCTTAAAACCTTTGTTGGCTTTCCAATGCCCAAGGAGAAATGCCCAGGTCCTCAGCATGGCCCATTTCTGGGCCCCCACTTCTTCTGGGACCTCAATTATATATTCCACGTATACATATGACTATGTAAATGAAGGCCTCAAGTGTTACACACCAAAATGTTAATTAACCATTACCTCTAGGGAGTAGAATTCAATGTGGTAGAGACTCAGACTTTTACAATCAATTCTTCTATGCATCCTGAATGTTTTAAAATGAGTATATACTATTTTCATAATTAGTTTATATTTAAATAAATGCTTATTCTAGGATTTTAAAAGGAAGGACACCAACTGACAATAAAAGTTGAAAGCATTTTAAAGTTTAAAATAATCTGCACATAATTCTGTCTCAGGCTCTGTTTATAATACATAGCTGTGGTTGGGACGTGCTTCTGTAAGGGACTAGATAATAAACACTTTAGGTTTTGCAAGCCATCTAAGGACTCTGTAGGAGGCCACAGTCTGCTGATCCCTGCTTTATGACCACACAACCTACAACAATACTCCCTCTCGATCCACCAAAACAACTCATTGCTATGCTTCCCTGATCCACATACATGCAGCAAAGGGAACTACAGCACTATCGAACACAGAAATTAAGGCATTACCAAAGTTCACAAGTAAATCTCTTCAACTTAGCCACTTACTAGAGCTACCAATACTTACTAGGCACACATCATAAGAAGCTACACTCCTAATCACAAATATATGAAGAAATGGTCCATGCCTTAAGACTGCTTTCAAAAACAACCAAACTGAAAAGTAATATAATGCGAAGTATACTGAAGTAGGATTATAAAGAAATAACAGTTCAGAGGAAAGAGAAATAAATTTCCACTTGAAAAATTTCTTACTTACCCGTTTAATATGTGTTCAAAAAGATGAACTTGACCATCTCTGCAAACAACAACTAACCTGACAGGCTGAAAGAAAAATGTAATTAATTACTCTAAGACAAAACATTATGCCAGTCAAATCTAACCGGTCTCCAATCTAACTTAATGAAACCTCAATTTTCTTCCCCACATCTCTAAATAACCAGAGAAAGAGTTAGAATAGCAAGATCATACAATCCTTGCAATTAGCTGTTATAATTCAGATTATAAGTAAATGCTTAGGCCAAGACAATAAGACAGCACAGTAAAGAAGAATACAACATTGAAGTCAGATGAACAAAGTTGCCACCAATCCACAGGCTTGCCACGTGGAACGGACATGGCCCACCCATCAGAGCAGTCAAGATTGGTGAAAATGCCCTTTTGTGTTGATGGGTGGGAAGGGGTGAGGCTGGGGGGTTACTAATCCCCCAGGACTGTCGATGCTATTAGCCAGGCTGTCTGGACACTCCTCTGCACCACCCTGTGCTGTCAGCCTTGCACCCCAGCAATCCCGACAACTCATTTTAAAAGTTCTGAAGCTTTCCTAAAGAAAGCTTACATGAAAACTTAACACATCTTAGCACATCCAAAAAGCACTTCCAAAAAGTTGCTATCTCTATTCTAGTTATAAATGTGGGAGAATTCAGGGAGCAGTCAATATACTGGGAGAAACAGAATTATATAAAATACATTAAGGCTAACTTTGCATTGTGAAAGCACCATAAGGAATTTACTGGTACATTTAAAGAGTAAGAAATCTCAGAAAGGCAAGAAGTTATTAAAGAAATTTTTGTTTTCTTTTTGACGTTTAGCAGCAAATGAAAGTTGTGAGGGAAGTTATTTTTCTCCATCAAGTTTTCTAGTTCCCCCTGCTGCATCCCCTAGTAACAGACACCAAATCCAAACCCACCAAAACATCTAGATAAGCTGATAACTTTTTAAGAAAACACAAGCAGAATCAGCGTTTTGTTTTAGAATTTTAAATGATTGCTATAACTGTAAATTTACATAACGTGCCAGAATTAGAACTTGGCTTCCTGAGAAGGAGGTTTCATCACTCCTACTTTAATATCTTAAAAATGTCTAAAAAGTTCTGATCAAGGGGTGGCGTCCCCCTTTATTTTATTATTAGTAATTTTAATGTATCATGTCAATATTATTCTAAGATCATTTAAATGTAAGATTAACATCATTTGTAGTAACTGTTAAATGGGAGACTATTTTGTCCTGTAAGCCTTCATCTTAAGTGAGAATAACAGCACAATTAGAAGAGCGTAGTCAATGTCACTTAAATGTGTATGTAAAAAAATTTTTGAAATGGCGTATCTTTGGCTACGTGTATTTTCACCAAAAAAAAAAAAAGTTGAGAATTTAGAGAGTTAAAACGTTGTGGGGTTGTTAACCAATGTCATAAAACAGCATGTGTGTTACTGTTACATGAGAAACTATCTGTTCTGTAAGCCTTCACCTGAAGTACAATAAAATATTAAAAAAAAAAAAAAAAAAGAGAAAGCAACAACAAAGTCAATTCTCTAGACAGACTAGTGGCAAGTTTTTGCTTCCAAGGGAGGCAGATTCTTTATTATATAAATTACTTGCATGTGGGAGTTAAAAATCACACGCACACAATAAAAATAATTTTTTAAGTCACTTGAACTTAAATAGTTATGGAGGCATTCCAAAGTGTTAATGTTTTATTACAGTTTCCTATGATCCAAAAAAAAAAAAAAAAACACCACACCCACAGCTGTGGGTCGAGTCAACTCCGACTCATAGCAATCTGTATGACAGAGAACCACCCCACAGGGTTTCCAAGGATCAGCTGGTGGATTCGAACTGCCAACCTTCTGGTTAGCAGCCATAGCTCTTAACCACTGCGCCACCAGGGCTCCATTCCTATAATCAGAACTTCTAACAACTGTATCAGTGAACTGACCACACATGATTAAAATGTATAGCGCACTGTTGTGATAAAACACAGGATTTCTATTAGATTTTTCTAAAATACTGAAAATAATTCCTGGGTCCCATTACTCCCTGATTTTATCCCCTTAAGAGACAAAGGTCCTTAAAGGGAATCACTGATGTAAGCAACAGTGACACCACCATCCCCTACTCACCTTAGAAAGCTGAGATTCTTCAATTTTAGTTGTCCTTAGATCACATTAGCAGCAGAGTCAAGATTTAAATGAAAAATCTTCTGATTTTTAAACCAATACCCTTTCTACTATAACATTTTTCAAAACTACCAAACCACAATAAAAAACTACAAAATCATCTCTACCTGTTAGAGGTTTACACAACATACGCATTTCAAAACCTAGATCGTGTTAAAAGTGCAACGCTCTTAGCTTTCACTGAAAGACTAGGAGTCTGCCCAAATCTAAACCTTTAATAAGTAGCTTTTGTCAAATAGAAACATGAATATGAAGCACTTCAAAGACATCAGGTTTGCTAAATGCTGAAGGTATACTGTAATCAAATCCCTAATTTTTATATGAAAAAACATAAAATATACTCATACACCTTAGTTAGGTACTACAAGATTTTATGACAAAAATAAAGCCTCTGCTAGAGGAATCACACATAAAACCGGTAAAAAAAATTCATCCCAATAACTTTTATTAATCCACATAATAAATTCCAAAGTGTACTGCCTTTGCATATAAAATTTTCCCTTCCCCTCAAAAGCCTTTGAAAGAGATTTAATGTCATGTTGAACAGTTAAAAAAAGATTTCTGTTCAGCCATCTAACATACAGCTATTGGTCTCTACTCAACTGGAACAAAACTGAAATAAAGAAACCCAAGACTCAAAGAAGAAACTAGTCTGTAGGACTAATAGTCTGCACAAACCACTGCCTCATCTACCCCTAGACCAGAACTCTACGGTGCCCGGCTACCACTACTGACTATTCTGATCAGGGCCACAATAGATGGACCCTGACAGAATGCGTGAAAAATGTGGAATAAAAGAAAGAAAACGGACTTACTGGGCCAGTTGAGACTAGAGGACTTCTCAAAGACTACTGCCCTGAGATATTCCTTAAACCTTGAACCGAAACTAGCCCGAGGTTACCTTTTAGCTAAATAATAGATTGGCTCACAAAGAGTATCACCTGTGAGTACTATGCTTCTTTAAAAAATCATCTATATGAGACCAAACGGTCAATAATTAAGACAAAGATGAAAACGTAAGGGGGCAGGGAAACTAGATTAATGGAAATGGAACAACTGGAACGAAAATAATGACAATATTTACCCATCGTGAAGAACGTAACCAATGTCACCGAACAAGTTGTGAAGAAACTGTTGAATGGGAACCTAAACTGCTATATAAACCTTCACCAAAAATACAATAAAATATTACTTTAGGAAAAAAAAAAAGATTTTTGCTGTTACCCCTCATGGCCCCTCTTTCCCAATGAGTCATTAAATCATCAAAACCTGGATTTTAAAAAACAACATTTGTAAAATCCAAAAACAAATCCTCAAAAATTGAGCCATTTACCTCTTCTTTGTTTTCTGACAAAGTCAGGTCAATACAGACAGGTTCATCTGTAACTGTGAAAGACATCACTGCATTCTTTTCTTTTTTCTCTGACCGGACCTGCCTAGATAACAAAACCAGCAATTAGATAATGAAACAGATTTTTAAAAAAAAACAAGCACCTAAAGGGATCACAGCATTAGATTCCCGGTAGGGTTTTCATCTAAAAAAGATGACAAAGATCAAAATAAGAGGTGTATTTATGTCACTACCATATGATAGTTACTTGGAAAAAGAGAAAGCATTAATCTGTGCCGGATTTAAAGAATGAATAACATTCTCTATTTTTCCCATTGATCTATTTGTCTATCTTGATGCCAATACCACACTTGTCTGGAGTACTGTAGCTTGACAGTAAGTCCTGAAATCAGGCAATATCAGTACTCAGCTTTGTTCTTCAAAGTTGTTTTGGACACCCTATGCCCGTAACATTTCCATTTGATTTTAGAATCAATTTGTCAATTTCTACAAAAAAGCCAGGTGAGAGTCTGACCAGGACTGCACTGAATCTAGTCTTTTCAACAAATGGTACTGGGGCAATTGCATATCCAAACTGCAAAAACATGAACTTGAAGCCATTCCTCACACTATATACAAAAACTAACCAAAACAGAACATAGAACTAAATGTAAACTAAAACTATAAAATCCACGAGAAAACCTTTGTAACCTTGGGTCAGACAAAGATTTCTAAACATGATCTAGACTTCATCAAAACTAAAAACCTCTGCTCTTCTTTAAAGACAAACCACTAAGAGAAAGTATTTGCAAAGCATATATCTGATAATTCAGAATATATACAAAACTCTCAAATCTCAAAAATAACCCAATTAAAAAACGTGCAAAAATATCTGAACAGTTACTTCATCAAAGAACATACCCAGATGGCAAGTAAGCACATAAAAGATTCAAAACATTAGCCATTCCAAAACCAACCAAACCCACTGCTGTCGAGTCGATTCTGATGCATAGTGACCCTACAGGACAGAACAGAACTGCCCCATAGGGTTTCCAAGGAGCAGGCGGCTAGTGGATTCAACCTGCCGACCTTTTGTTTAGCGGCCAGGTGCTTTAAGTGCTGGGCCACCAGGTCTCCTTACTAGCCATTAGGAAAATGAAATTAAAACACACCTTTTAGAATGGCTAAAATTAAATGACCATACCAAGTGTTGGTGAAGATGTGGAGAAATTAGCAATCTCACCCACTGCTGGAGGGAATGTAAAATAAAATAGTACAACTACTTAGAAAAAAATCTAGCAATTTTTTCAAAAGTTAAATGTATACCATACCTATCACCTGATCCAGCCATTACACTCCTAAGACTGATCCAAGAGAAATGAAAAAATGCCCATACAAAGATCAGTACATAAATGTCCACAGTAACTTTATTTGTAACAACCCAGAATTATCAACAAGTCTGGAAACTGGGGTAGGAAGGAGGATTACGAAGAAGCAAGAGTAAACTCTTGGGAGCAATGGGTGTATTTATTGTCTTGACTGTGGCGATGGTTTCAGTGGTATATATACATATATGTCAAAATTATCAACCTGTACACTTTAAATATGTGTGGTTTATTATATGTCAATTATACCTCAACAGAGCTGTTAAAAAAACTAAGTACACAAAAACAGATGTAAAAATGGCAGCAGGGGAGCGTCAGACTTCCTACTCTAACTTCACAAGGGGAAGGAGAATCATTATCAGTGTCAGCCCAAGGCCGAGTCCTATGAAGCAGAGGTCAGACATACCTCCATCCTCCAACCTTTGTACCAATTCTGACACCAGCCATCCCTCCCACAGCATTCTCTACTTCTCTGCCGGGTTCAATAATTCACTGCAATGGCCACACAGAACTCACAGACCATACTCACAGTTATGAGGTTTATTAGGGAAGTAACAGGTTACAATTCAGGATCAGGAACAACTCAGGATACAGTTCTTTGGTCAGAACAGTTTCTCAGCTGTGCCCAAAAGCAGGCCTCACTCTGCCCCTTGATTCAGCCTCTGCCCTGCTCAGTCAAGTGTTACAAAGCTCTTTAGCCCTGCCATTAAGTGCCCAGGGGCACCCCACTCTGCCAGTAAGCTCTGGCCCGAAGGTGCTCAGCTCTCTCGCTCCACGGGTCTGTGAGCCAACCTCCACTAACAAGTGTCCGGAGGTACCCCACTCCACCAGGAAGCCTTCTGCCCAAAGGCTCTCAGCTCTCTCACTCCATGGGTTGGCACTCTCACTGTAGCCACCTTGCTCCATGGGCCAGGAAGCCCACTGGCCATCTCAAGCTGGTCTCCTAGTTCTCCTGCTGCCGTTTCTTCGCTGTCACTTCTCGCCATCTAATGCCATCTCCAGTATTACAGCTCTCTGTCTCCTGGGTCTAGGAGGTTCTCAGCACAGAGACCCTGGGTCCAAAGGACACACTCTGCTCCCATCTCTTCTTCTGGGAGGTACTGAAGTCACCCCTTTCCACCTCTGGGATGGCTCATTTTAAGCCTAGAAGAATGGCAAGCTAACCAATGCCCTTGTTAGGGTTCCATATACCTTATTTGCATGGCCTCACCCCCACAAGGGTGTTATGAATCTTACTGCATTATTAATAAGCTGTCCAATTCCCTTGGTGGGCCACAAGGACCTTATATGCATAATCCCACTCAATCATTTGCTAGGAGTTAGAAGACCATGGCCAGTAAGTCCATATAAAAGTGATTCACTGCACCACAATATAAAAAGTAAGAATGAATAACAACATAGCTTACAAGTATGATTCAAAATCAGTCCTTTTTATCAACTTGTGAGACTTCATACATTTACCAGTAAATAATCTTTCACTATTTTCTGTCTGAAAGAAAATTATGAGAGCTGAACTGATCAATCTTCAATGTTTTCATCAGGAGCCCTAGTGGCGCACTGGTTAAGCTCTTGGTTGCTAACCGTAAGGTCAGTGGTTTGAACCCACCAGCCAGTCTGTGGGAGAAAGATGTGGCAGTCTGCTTCTGTAAAGATTACAGCCTTGAAAACCCTATGGGCCAGTTTTACTCTGTCCTATAGGGTTGCTATGAGTCAGAACTGACTCAACAGCAACAGGTTTAAATGTTTTCATGCACAGTAAATTCCTAATAAAACAAGATTCATTCTAACATGAAGTCACACACTATCCATGTTCAAAATCACTGCCTTTAGACCACTATATAGGGAAGAAACTGTTATCTTAGCCCATCAATGGGAGATAGTGCTATCTCCTTACAGTAACATGAAAAGTCAGGTCACTATAGACAGGTTCATCTGTAACTATGAAACACATCATTGCATTCTTTTGTTTTCTGACCAGAACCTTCAAATCAGAAGCAAGAAACCTTAAAATGCTATTTCCTTACAGAAATGTGTTCTTCAAAGGTGGTTATCAGGGAACCTTTGACGTGCTCTACCCACCAACACACTGAGTTTGTAGAGCTTCACAAATGGTCTTGTCAGGCAGCCTTACAATATGGGTTCTAAATCTGTTTGCTTTTTATATTTATTCCCAGGTTAACAGGAAGCCCCAGGCATAACAGATACTATTTTCTGGATTTTACGAAAACAGAAATCAAACTTTTCTTTTATAGAAAGGAATTTTGTAGCCAGAGACCCCTTCATACTAGGAAGACAAAGAGGTGAAGTATTTACAATGAAGCACCTCAGTAATGCTGGGAGATCTCAATGGCAAATTTTAACTTTTTGACATTAGTAATTTCTTACGTTTAAGTGTTAAAGCCTCTAGAACTACAAGACATTAAAAAAAAAAAAAATCAATTCGATTAGGAGAAGCATCACCAGAAACCATGGATTAGCTGGTGGTTTTGAAGGTGAACAGAGCTACACATTTTGCATTATGAACCTCTCCCTGCACAACAATTTTTAATTGTTGTGCTTTAAGTGAAAGTTTACAATTCAAGTTAGTCTCATACAAAAATTTATACATACATTGTTTTATGACCTTAGTTGCTCTCCCTATACTGTGACAGCACACTCTTCCTTTCTACTCCGGATTTCCCATGTCCGTTCAACCAGCTCCTGACCCTCTGCCTTCTCATCACGCCTCCGGACACAAGCTGCCCATGTAGTCTCATGTATCTACCTGAGCTAAGAAGTACACTCTTCACGAGTTTCATTTATGTCCCATAGTCCAGTCTAATCTTTGTCTGAAGAGCTGGCCTCAGGAATGGTTTTAGTTTTGGGCTAACAGAGAGTCCAGGGGCCATGTCTTCCGGGGTCCCTCCAGTCTCAATCAAACCATTAAGTCTGGTCTTTTTACTAGAATTTGAGTTCTGCACCCCACCTTTCTCCTGCTCCATCAGGGACTCTCTGTTGTGTTCCCTGTCAGGGTGGTCACTGTAGTAGCCAGGCACCATCTAGTTCTTCTGGTCTCAGGCTGATGAAGTCTCTGGTTTATGTGGCCCTTTCTGTCTCTTGGGCTAATACTTTCCTTGTGTCCAAGGTGTTCTTCATTCGCCTTTGCGCCAGGTGGGCTGGGACCAACTGATGCATCTTAGATGGCCACTCACTAGCTCTTAAGACCCCAGATGCCACTCACCAAAATGGGATGCAGAATATTTTCTTAAAAAACTTCCCACACATAAATTTCTCTTTGTAAAAGCCATCGACTTGTGGTATTTCTGTTAGAGCAGCACCAGATGACTAAGACAGAATTTGGTACCAAGAGACTAGGGTGCTACTCTAACAGATACCCAAAATGTGGAAGTGGTTTTGAAATTGTGAATGGATAGAGGAACGGCAGTGACAGAGAACCAACAGCAGCAGAACCAGACCCGTGTGAGACAGTGCTGGAGCCTACCCATGGAGTGAGAGAGCTCACTAACTGCCTGTGCGCAGGAGGCTTCCTGGCAGAGTGGGGTGCCTCTGGGCACTTGTCGGTGGAACTAGGCTTGCCAACTCATGGAGCAAGGGAGCTGAGTGCCTGTGCGCAGGAGGCTTCCTGGCGGAGTGGGGTGCCTCTGGACACTTTACTGGTGGAGCTACAGAGCTTTGGAACACTTGCCCCAGAAGGGCAGACGCAGGGCCAGAGGGCCGAGAGGCCACTGGAAGCAGAAGCTGAAGAGACAAGGAACACAAGAAGCGGAGATGCCTCGGTCTCAAAAGGTATGGCATGACGTCAGGGGTTTCAAAGGGTAGAGCCACGGCCTCTGGTGCTTCTAAGGGCGGAGTCGCCACTCAGATAGACTAGGAGAATGGTGCACCTGAAGCCGAGGGAGCAGAGTTGCTGTCCCAGTGGGCCTGGAAGGCGGAGCTGAAGCCCAGGGCCGAGGGGCTTCCTCTCAGAATCTGGAGAATGTGGCCAATACTTAAGAGTCTGGAAGGCAGGGCCATTGTGTAAATTGTCTCAGAGAACAGAAGATTATTTTCAAAGCCTTCAGGGCTAATGTAATGTGTTCTGCTGACTTGCTTGGTGCCTGTTATCCCTTCTTTCCCACCAGTTTCTCCCATTTGTAATGGAAATGTCTAGCTTGTGCCTGTTCTGCCATTGTACCTCTGGAAGCAGATAACTTGTATTCTAGATTGCACAGATGAAGAGGAATTTCTGGATTTGGGACTTGGAGTTAAGACTTCTGCTATGATATTATGGGGTGAATATGTTTTTCATGTTGCAAGGATGTGATTTTTGGGGGGCCAAAGGGTGGAATGTCATGGTTTGAATTGTGTCCCCCAAAAAATGCGTTTATCAATTTGGCTGGACCATGATTCCCAGAATTATGTGGTTGGCCTCCATTTTGTGATTGTAATTTTATGTTAAAGAGGATTAGGGTGGGATTGTAACACTGCCCTCACCCAGGTCACATCCCTGATCCAACATAAAGGGAGTCTCCCTAGGATGTGGCCTGCACCACCTTTTACCTTACAGGAGATAAAAGTAAAGGGAGGCAAGCAGAGAATGGGGGACCGCATACCACCAAGAAGGAGCACCAGGAGCAGAGCGCGTCCTTTGGACCTGAGGTTCCTGCGCAGAGAAGCTCCTAGTCCAGGGGAAGACTGATGAGGACCTTCCTCCAGAACCAACAGAGAGAGAAAGCCTTCCCCTGGAGCTGATGCCCTGAAATTGGACTTCTAGGCTACTAGACTGTGAGAAGATAAATTTCTCTGTGTGAAAACCAAAAAAAAAAAAAACTTCCCACACAATTTTTTAAAGGAATGTTTTATGATTCCCACTTCTAAATTGAGTATTATTTGGTATAAATTGATAGTAACTTCATATGATCAAGACCATGTTCAACTAATTATTAGTAGGATAAAAAACTTCTGTTTTCAAAATCTCTTCAAATACTTTACACACTTACTTTGTTCATGAACTGCAGGTTAAAATAAAAAAGTCAACTTCACCATCACATGATGTCAAAAAACTCAAGAAAAATCTTTCTCTTAAATTTTATAGATTTAAAAACTTTTTGATGGTCCCTTAATACTCAAATCCTTTTTTTACTTTTAAAAGTAGTTTAAAAGGGTATTCGTAATAGCAACTACTACAAAAAAGGGCTACTGGGAATTCTCAGGCACACCAAGGAATTTAACAACCAGGAAACGGACATCACTGCATTATATCCAAGGTGGTACTACCTATTTCTTGTCAACAAAATCAAATGTTTTCCTACTTAAACAAACAAAAAAAAAGCTATTTTTAAATTACCTATCCAAAAAAGATTCAGTCAATTGTACCTCTAAACAATCACAGAGTAGGCTACATTATGTAATGTCCTTCAATTTTTCTCATAAAGATCTATTTTCAGGCAGGCTCAATTGTTTATTACAAGTTAATATAAATCCAACACTAAATATAATAAAGCAAGTTTCATGCTTATATTTATAATAATCATGTAAAATAACCACGTAACCAAGTGACAGGGTCATCACGGCAGAACTACCTCCCAAATCCAAAAGATTACGTACCAGATATTAAGTAACCGGTCATGTACAGCTCCAGATAAGAAATAAAGACCTGTAATTCCATCAAAGGGTTGGCTCTCATTAGGAGGTCTGATAGTAGTGAACATAAGTGATGAAACTGGCGTCGCATGTCCTGTGAAGTGCTAGAGAAAGTGAAATCTCATTTAGTCTTGAGAGGACGGATTCAAAGCAGTAACACTAAGAGTCCCTATGTATCATAAACAAGATACCTATGATACATAACTGAAAGCAGGACTCCAGACCAAAGGTAACACTTAAGTTTAATTCTAAACAACGGAGGTTACTTGATATGTTCCTCTTACTTTTTAAAAAACCCACCTGAAAATATTGAAAATTGGAATGTTTCTCTTACCTCCTATGACTACACCCCACAACCCCTATTTCTTTCAATTTTGAGTTAAAGAGTCACTTAATTCTATACATTTTAAAGGGATATTTTCAGTGCTCAGACACAGCCAAGGAATTATAGGTCTTCATTTTACTCTCAGTGAGTCAAAACCACAATTTTAAGGCCTCATCACAGCACCGTAAGTTTAGTAACCCCTCAACAAAAATCTGTTTTCCTTCTCAAAAAATGTAATACTAAATCTGAGTGGCACAAATGGTTAAGCGCTCCACTACTAGCCAAAAGGTTGGCAGTTTGAACCCACCCAGAGTAAACATGGTGCCTTGGAAGACACGCCTGGTGATCTGCTTCTGAAAGATCACAGCCTTGAAAATCCTATGGAGCAGTTCTACCCTGTACACATGGGGTCATGATGAGTTGGAACTGACTCTATGGCAACAACAATAAAGCTTCACATTTAAATATGGTAGGTGGACAAAATGCTAGCTGCAAGTTACTATAATCATAGCAGAGTGAAAAGTTTTTCATTTAAATTTTATTTATTCTATTCATTTTTCCAACGAATGTGGAACGTTTAACATCAATAAAACAGACTTACAAGCTAAGTTTTGTGTATAAATTCTACTAATTGATATACTTAAAGAAACCATATTCTTAAACAATATTCCATGACTCAGATTTGTGCCTTTCATGTATTTACTCTACATCACTAAGATTTTACTATGCTTGCAACTAATCTGATTCACTCACTCTGTAGACTTCTTTGGTCTCCAAAACCCATAGCTTGATTGTTCGACCAGCAGAAAGTAACATCTTTCCATCTGGGCTGATACACAGGGAACTGACGCTGCTACTGTCACCTTTCCATTTGCTGTATTGTGAAGAAAAACAAAAATCTCAATGAGGGAAACCTTTACTCAGGACGAACAAAACAAATAAACAAACTAAGCCTTAAAAATACCACCTAAGGTTCTATGCCAAACTGCATTCCCTAAAAGCTTGTGCCATGTAACTAACCCTGGACAACACTAGAGTAAAGCTTCACTGATGGGCTTCTCTTCACCCAGAGGGATCACCCGTGAGCAGGAACAGGATAAAGATTCTCAAGGGGTATCAGGAAATGGGTGGGTAAGAGTTATAAGAATGGAAAATGAGGACTTGGTATATCCTGTGACCTGTAACACAGGCTGTGTGAATACTCAGGAAACTGCTAGGCTGGCTGGACCTTTGCAGGTCTATACTACCCGCAACACACTCCCTGCATTCTCTTGAAGGTTAGCAACATATAATTTCTCAAGGTACAGTCCAAAAAGACTATTTCTAGCCCAGATCCACACAGATTAGTCCCCATCTGATAGGGTCAAGTTAATTAGGTACAGATGATCCCTTTCTAATACCTCAAATATGATTAGACATACGTCTTTGCAGTTTGCTGCACATTTTTAATGCTGTTATGAGCAACAGAGAGCACAACTATCTCTTATAAAATCAAGAAATAACAGCAGGAAACTTATTACTAAAAGGCATTAATTCTAGAGTAGAAGAAAAGGTACTCTTCTGTCAGTCACACTGGAATATATAAAATTAATCATTTGGAAAAACAAAATTAGACTTCTACCTAACACTACACACAAAGAAAATAACTGATTTAAAAGAACTAAAGTATCAGAAGAATATATAGGGGGATATATTTATAATCTTAGGGTAAGGCCTTCTAAAGCAATTAGAAACCAGAAATCATAAAGAGAAAAATGACCTAATTACATAAAACTTCTGTAAAAAATCATAAAATTAAAGTACAAGTAAAACGTTAGGAAAAAATAAAAATATATATTACAGACAAAGCATTAATACTAAGAATACAGAAATTTTTAAAGAAAAAAAACTCAAAAATAAAACCAGACAAAGGATGTAAGTAGGCAATTCATTAGAAATACAAATTGTCAACAAACATGAAAATATTCAACATCACTAGTAATCAAGAAAATGGAACAATAATGTATGAGAGAATCTATTTCCTTTACCCTCACCTGTTCCTAAATTTTTTGCCAATTTAGGTTTAAAAAAAAAAAAAAAGCTTCTCACATT